GGGAGTCGGTGACCAGTGGAGAGTCTCGAGGGGTCGTCACCGGTCTGCTGCAGGTGGGTCTCGGCGGCGGCGGGCTGTCCTGGCGGGGAGCACGTGTAGCGCGTCCAGCCGGCGGCTCTGCAGGGCCGATACTGACCGGGCCACCGACGCGCCGCTGCCGGGAGGCCGCGGAGCGCCGGGCCCGACACCGGCCGGCGCCCGGGGCGCTCCGCCCCCGCCCGTGTGCGCCGCCGGCGCCGGAGGGGGAGGGGGTCGCCACTCGCCACCTCCTGTCGGCGCCGGCACCAGCCAGCACGGCGTACCCTGTCCGGCGCGACGTCAGCGGCCGTGGCGTCACTGTCCGGTGATCGGATGTCTTGTTTTCCACCACCGCAATCTTCCGTCCTCTCTGCGAGCCAGCACAGCCCCGCGCCCGGCGAACGCGACGCACTCAAGGCGGCCCTCCCCGCCGCGTCCGACTCATGGATCAATACACGCCTAGCACGATCACTAAGACCCGGCGGGCGCCCACTAAAAAACAAGCCAAGGACGGAACTGATTGATCCGTGCCAGCCAATACCTGGCCATGATACACTTCGTCGTATATAGTGGATGTGGGATGAGGACCTCTGTGTCTTTATCCTGGGCCAGTAAATGACGACAGAGATAAAGATCGATTGGGTAGCAGGGTGGTTATTTCGATCGGACGAAAAGGGGAGACAGCTGTGTTGACACAAAGGACTTGAGGTAAACGATCTTTGAGTCCATGTCATGTAGCTATAGCGACCTGAGTTAGGTTCTGCGATAATCCAAAGTCAATGCGCGTCGTTTAGTTGGATGCTGACAGGCGAACCAATCAATAAGACACAATATTATAATGATACTCCCAAAACAATACCTACTGTCAATGAGGATTGAGGATTCGGGTGTCCTGAAGCATTGGGGACCCGGATAACTGGTCTGGGACGATCCGGAGGGGAGGCATGCTCCTCAGTCCTCAATAAGTCCTCCATTTAAAAAGAAACTCGAGGAATTTGGCTTTCTTGCTGCGCAGTTTAAGACATTTTTTATAATACAAGTTGTTTAAGCATATTGACTCGCCAGTGCTGTTTAAATACGCCTCCCCCACTCCCACCCCCAGCGAAAATCGTCAGGCATTCCGCATTTATGTCACTTATAGTGACGCTGCGTACAGTTCCCAGAATAATATTATGCATATGCCATATGGTTGCATTATTGACGACATCACATGACAACGTCAAAAGCTTCCCAATGACACTGGGCGGCGCTTTTGATACCCGGGGTGGCAACAACAGCCGTCCTACTCCTTCATCATTTATTAACCTCTTTGAAATGCCTTCAATGACGTGACTATGATGTCACCCGGCGACTCATGACGCGTCCTTTTAGGTCCCCCGAGCAGGACGCCCGCTGACACCATGGATACTGACGCTATACTGCGCCCGTCAGTATGCATCTGATGACACACCAGTAGTCAGTACTGACGGTATACATCATACTCATGATGTGGCGGCCAGCCCGTGTGTCTGGTTAGATGGCCGGTTAGGTCATCGCTGTCACCACGACACACCGCGTGCCGGCGCGGCGTCACAATGCAGTTTCCTGCTTCCGCAGTCATCAAAGACGACCTCACACCATTCAAATGGATTTTACCGAAACTATGTCATCATTACTGTTTTATGAACATTTTTAGGAAGCAGGGTATTATTGTCCGAATAAGGCTGAATAGGCCGGTGCCTTTAAAACATATCCACATGCGAGCTGCGGTTTGCTGTATGACCGCCGCGGATAATCCAAGAATGACGTCACGTTACGTCATGGTGGAAATCACGTCATGCATAACAGCTGTGAATAGCATTGGGATGTTAGCTTATTGGATCAATAATCAGCGCCTGTTGATGTGCGTAGACTTTTCCACGGAGGGTTCAGGTAGATTTTGCCCCGCGCCCACTTTTTTGCGGACCTTTACTCAGCGAAAGCAGGGGTCAGACTACACGTCGCAGGACAATATTGTTTTTATTCATTGTAAAACAAACCTTCAATATAACACACGGTTCGTGAGTCCGTGCTTTACTATGAGCCTTATCACAATCTTCAACTCTCATTTCTCATCCTTCCCTAAAACTAAGGAAATCGCGACGTTCAGTTTTTTTATTATTAGTAACACAGAAGCGACACTAGTCGACTGTGCTCACTCATTGACTGTGAGAAAAACGAACTGACTTAGCTTATAAGGCAAGTTTGCCGGTCCGTACGTCTTCCGAGATCAGGCTTAGGTATATTATCATTCACCTTTAAGTTTTTACTAAAGCAATCGGACGCGTGTAAAGTACGCTATAGGTATACCTAGGTATGTGTCGCAGCCCGGTATGCTGAGTGCATGCGTCCTTCTTCATGGCTAAATGTTCAGGTTGTCACCGCAGTTATCTTACATGGTTTGTAACTTAGTAGTACAATCTCTCTTGAAAGTACCACGCATCGGTGCGGTGGATCCATCAAGCCCGACCGAGGAGGGGCTGCTAAATTTGAGAGTCACCAAACCAATTGACCTGGGGGATAGATGAGGATGTCCATTGGTTCGGTGACTCAATTTTAGCAGCCCTTCTTTCGGTTGAGCTTGATGGATCAGGCTGCGCTAATACACCGTACTTTCAAGACAGATTGTACAAAAATGCAGGCAGCCTTCAATTGGCGTGTCAAACATGGTTTTGACATTGAAATCTAGAGGAAAATGTAAAAGATATTTATGCAAAAGCACTTTCCTGCGTCATCTTGTAGCCGGATTGTTGCATTTTGATGCATCACTAGCATGTCGTGCCGCCGGTCGCAGCTATTACCGAGACGTTTGTTGATTGGTGCTGACAATTGGTGACGTATTGTGCACGTCACATTGCACGTCAAACAGTGTAATCGAGTCATTTCTGCTTCTCAATTATGTCAGTGACGGAGCACGTCTACGTCAAACGACGAGCACGCTCCTCGAACGATAAGAAGTAAATAGAAACATTGCGTCGCACAATATACGTCCTCGAATTAGGCTTTTCAATGTGAATGTGAACACCCAGCTCAGACGACCAGCACTTTTCAGGTGCGGAAGCTAAGAAGGTACCTTACTTAAAGGGACACTCCCACCTTAAAGGAAGACTGCCACCTTCAAAAAGTTTTCTCAGATCGGCCCATGATTTTTTCCCTGGATAAAACGAAATTTTAGAATTCACCTGGCAAGCTATCATCACGTGAATCGCGTAAAAAAATTATCGATTATCATAAATTATCAATCGGATAATGTCTAGCGACAATGTTGACACATCACTAGACTTCAAGGTCATAAGATATGGAAGCGGGTTTTGTCGCCATAAACGGCGCGCATGTTACAATTGAAATATACAATGATCCTTGCTTTGGTTATGTATGTCGTGTTTACGCTTTTGGAATTGCCTGTTTTAAAGGGACCATCCCACCTTAACATTAGTTTTGAGTTGAGATAGCCAAGTTTGCGGCCAGGCTCAGAAACCACCATTTATCCTGGTCGCAACCCCCGCAGCTTTATGGTGTTCAAGAAATTTCTTCCCTTTACTTGCAGGGTGGGACCAGCTTAGTCCCTATCTCTTAACCATTAGCGGTTTTTTGATGACGTCAGCAGTCATTTCAACGCCCGCCATTCCTTGAACCCGAGTTTTGCTGACCTTGAGCTCCCTTTTTTATCAACGTGAAATCCGTCGTCGGCGCTGAGAAAGCCTATTGCTTTTCATTTTAATTTGAATATTAGAAGATACCCACCACTGGAACTTGGACTGATATTATACCAAGGCCGAAGATGATCAAGCTGCCTGCTATATCTGGAGCTTGGTGTTCAACTTCAACATGGAATAAAAAACAAAATATCAAAGCAAACTGGATATGGTACTGCAAGTTAAAGTCCAAAGAAATTTGAAGAGCTGACAATTGACATTAATTCTTTCCCTGCAAGGTTTCCATATGGAGATCACAGTCACACCATGAAGAAATATTTTTGATGTTAACAGTTGAAAGGGGATTTATCTTCCAGTTTAGACGAAAGACGCTGCTGACTGTCTTTGGAAAAGGATGTCGGCATGAGGTGCAATTGTGCTTGTGAAGTGGTTATAACTGGTCTTTTCACAGTATTAAATTGAATGTGCCATTGCAGCCAAGTGTGTTATCATGTAAGGTAAAATCAAAACTACAATGTTGGTTTTACGAGCATTGAGAAGGCTGGTAGGTAACACCTGCCTGTGCTCGTAAATCATGCTGCCAGAGTATTCTAAATTAATTTTATCATACACTTTTGTTGTCCAGAATGGTTGCACTATTGTTTGGTATCATATTATTCCATGTAAATATGGTAGTGTAAAGTCCGACCAACATGTTACCAGATTTGAAGCTGTTACGTTACCTAAGTACCTGTTTTTTACTGGCGTGGTGAATGTCACCTGGATTTTGTTTTGAGGTGCAGACCTAGTAACTCTGACTACATGGGTTTGAAGCTATTATCTATTCTGTTTTTACTGGCCTGGTGAATGGCGACTGATGTTGTCCGTGGATGGCACTGAAACAAATTTTGAGTGTTTTGTACAGTGTTTTAATACAATGCTGAGGGCTGAAAGTTGTCTTGTTTAGAGTGGTGAAAGTTCAGGATATGCCAGCCACCATGGTGGGTCAGAGTTAAATGTGTTGCAGTCAGTTCGGCTTCGGCAAGCACACGGATGGGCATACGCATCGAGACCTGCTCTGCCATACTTTCAGCCAATTTTACCTAGGTAAGTCTTTTCTTTTTTCTGCCAAAAGCTATGACATTGTGAATTTCAGCACTGTGGCCTGTGTGTAGCTTTCAGGAAAGCAATTCTAAATAAAGCTCTGATAAAGTGCAAAATCAGCAATGCAGCCCTCTATTACATTTTCTACAACATCTTACTTGTTCCTTGCATGGAGAGAAAAATGCAATGTTATGAATTCGTTTATTCACATAATTTGACAAGCATGCAGTTACCTGCTACTATCACTGCACAAAACAGAGCAGAAAACATCAGTTGATCAAACACAAGACATAACAGAAGTTTACAACATAGGGCTGCCGAACCTGCTTCCTCCCACCACAGTTGATGCCATTTCCTAGCCTGGCTTGATGTGAGCACTGAATAGCTGCTTTGTCTAATTACAGCTCACTACCATTCAACTTAAACTACTCTCTAGTGAGAGCGTTCAGTGTTCATAGCAGCTCGACAGACGACAGACAACAAACATCTTGACAAACCAACCAGTATTTGATTTGGCTAATGATTTATGTGCTTGTTGTATCATGGCCAAACTACTTTAACAGCAATAATCCCTGTTTCATCTTGATCTTGCTTTTATTTCCATTTGAACTCAGATCTTGAAACAATCATCTGAAGTGATATCAGATACTGGCTTCTGTTTCTCTTGAAAGCAAGTTAAAACAACAATGATAAACTAAGGCAGGAGATGTGAGTTGTGGCAGTAGATTTTTGATCCAACATATCAGTAGGCGGAACTATGGTCATGAGTACCCAAATATAGGAACGTTCCCATTTTTGGGAACGGAGTTCCCAAATATGGGAACGGGCGTTCCCATTTATGAGAACGGAAGGGAATTTTTCGGCCGTTCGCCCACTAAAACTCAAAAGTGCATCACGTCTCAAAAAAGTGCACGCTGATTGAAGTATCTACTAAATCTCCATAAAGTTATCTTTAATCTGACCGTGGAACAAGGAAATTGACCGTGGAATGATATTTTTAATGATTTTTTAAAAATGACAAAATGTTGAAAATATGGGTTATACGACATTTAACATGCAATTTTAAGGAAAACGAAGCATTTTTTTAGTTTGAGGTTAAGTATAATAATTTTCGCCTGGTTATGAACTTTCATACTATCGACACCAGATGCTGACAAATGCAAGCGAAGACGCGGACGGTCCGGAGGTAATATTGTTGACTTTTGGTGTCGGGGCGGACGACCGCGTGGAACGTGAGTGAATTTACCGAACTACTGTTGTAAACTCAGTTTAAGCGGTTGAAAATTATCCAGCTGTATTTTATCAACCCTGAAAGACATATTTTATTTGGATGCTAGCTGTTAAGCATTGCTTTTAAGGAGCGTCATGAGCGTGGTTTTTGCCTTCGGTATTTTTAAGCACGATCGTTTTTGGGGAATTTCTTTTATGCAGGTCGCCCTGTGTGGCTTATTTATAATTTTTATGCTGATTTTGATCATTTCTCGTGCCCATCCTACCAGGCTTTTTGCCACTTACACTCATTAAGAAAGGAAAAAAGTAGATTTACATTGGGACTAGGTGTTTTGAGAGTGAAACATTTCAGCGTTCCCATTTTTGGATACTTACTTGTGCTCATCAACTATCAGTGTTAAACAGACAGGTGTTTTACATGCCTCCACCCTCGGCGCGGACGGTGTATATAGGTATGGAAGACCTTGTTGAACATCGCTGAGCGTTGTGAATTACGTAATCCTGCAGAGGGGGGCGTGCCCGTTGCGAGATCGACGGGAATAAAAGCGCAGAAGACCGGGCGAAACATGCGACGGTCTTGCCGGAAAGGTCATCTGAGATTGTTGCGTTAACAATAATTTGCGGCGTTGGACGTGATGCTTGTTAATGAAAAGAGTCCCTGAAAGCCGTCGGTGAAATCGTTCCCAATTTTGGGTACGCCGTTCCCATAATAAGGAACGCTTGCAGCGCCAGTGTACGAGAGCGTTCCCAAATTTGGGCTCGCGGCCCGGATGATGGACTGCTTTAGAAATAGGGGAACGATTTGAAACTACGATGGGCCTTACAATATCAAACTCTTTCCCAACAATATTGAGATAAATATCAGGCGGTTCACGATCGTTTTATATTTTTTGGACGTCATTTAACGGTTCTTTTTCTTGTTTTAAATAATGCCTACATGGCGTTCCCATATTTGGGTTTATCGTTCCCAAAGATGGGAACGAAAATGCGTTCCCGAAAATGGGTACGCTTGACCATAGTTCCGCCTACTGATATGTCAACCTTATATTGCTTGAGACCTCTGTGACAGACAAACAAATATTTATAGTTTTTTGATAGTTTGGATTCTTGGCTTGATTTAGCAGATCAGCTGTGAACCTTGACTTTGAAATCACATAAATGTCATGGTACCCGAACGAATCCTCGCATGACATTTCTTCGTAGCACAATTTTTCGTCCGCATTTCTTCGTCTACAAATCTTCGTCGGTGTATTTATTTGTCCCTCAATGCTTACTCTTGCATATATTTGCGTTGAAGAAGAAATGCGAGCCGATTTTCATATACCCTGGTGCGAGACAAAGTAATGCGATAGGTACGAATAAATGCCCTGACGAAGATTTGCAGACGAAGAATTGCGATACGAAGAAATGCCATAAGAATTGTCCTGGAATCCTTTATTGGCCATCATATATTGACCTTGATAAGATAAACGCATCATTCGCGCAATATTTGTCGCACTTTGATACCAAACTATTGCTTCCAAATGCCGACGTAAAGAAAACCTTTATGTGACGTCATAGAAACAGCGGATTTCCCTAAAAGTAAACAAAAATAAAAGTCTTATATCTCGAAAACGGGTGAATATTTTCCGGTAAAATTTGGTAGATGTTCATTTTCGCTCTTTGTGATTCACGCTACATCACTTTTATGCCAATTCATTAACTTTTTTGAAGGTGGGAGGGTCCCTTTAATGAGTTATGTTATCTATATCTTAAAATATTCCAATTCTGATTCATCTGATAGGTATATATATACATGTATTTTGGCATGTGATATTAAAAGCTAGACTATTTCCAGGTTTATATGAATAGTGATAGACTAAGTTGAGACAAGTGCTATTTGAATAACAAATACCTATGGTATTGGAAAAATTGTCATGAATCTGATAGTGTTTCCATTCCAGCACCAATTTCCCAGTCTTCAAAGTGTGGCAGGGAGCTCAATCCGTGACAAGATGTTTGGGACAGTCAAAACATTGCCCCAAGCGGAATGCCGAGACCTGGGCAACCCAATTCCTTTCATGAGGGCCCCTCATGAATATGATGAAAATGATATAATGATGAAGTGCATCATTTAATAAGTATGAGAAGCGAAATGAATCAATGCTGTGACAAGCTTTCAACTTCTGCCCCAGATTTCCTTGCTTCTGCCCCAAAATTCCTCAAACCTGCCACAACCTGTGGTGTGTGCCCTGACAACATATTGTCAAGACCTGCCACGTTTTGCAGACTGGCCCATTTCTGTATGCCTACCTTCCAGGTGAAGATGCCTGGTGAGCGAGGGAGAGGACGAGGACGGGTGAGGAGAGGAGGTGGTCGAGGGGCAAGAAGAATTCTCAACTTTTCACCCACCGCCCAGCCCGAGCCCCAAAGGTAAATAACTGAATGTTTCTTACGATGCGATGTGAAAGTATGAAACAATTGTTAATATTTATTTAATTGCCATGTGTGGCCTAGCCTTTATCTAGGTTGCTAGCCAATATATATTTTAAGGTGATTATTGCAATTAAAATTATCATGTACCTACCTTGAAAAGTCAGGTACACTACAAGCAGAAATAATACAACCTAATCTAACCTTACCTAACCTTACCTAATGTAAGATAATCTCACCTGACTCATTGTGTGGTTTGGTGGAAGTTATAAATGTTTTGTGAAAAAAATATGGTTAGTACACAAAACATTTCTAAGGATGTGTTCTTTCTAATCATGTTTTAATTTTGTGAGTCTCTTCATTTTCTAAAGAGTGCAAAAGGAGGTATTCAACTCTGCTCATGATAATTCAAAAGGAATTCTTAAATACAATGCACCCATAAATCACTGATTTTCACTTTGTGGTTCATCAGAAAACACATTCAACATCATTGTCTTTCTATAATGAAAGATGGCACTAAAACATGAACCACTTTTCTTTCAGAAAAGTGGTGCTAGGTGAACTTGATACAGGTGAACTTATTACTTAATACTTAGGACACATGTCTTGACACAAGTCTTGATCTTATCGTGGGAGGCGGCTCGGGTTGGAGATACACGTACACTGGTTATTAGGGAGACCATTAGGTACCATTAATGATTTTACATTGCTGTGCGATACGAGGTTGTACCTAGTGATGTTGCGTCATTTGTGGACTTCCCCCCTGCGAGTTGTCTGGTCCTAGGATTTCATGCACATCTTCCTTCACTTCAAACTGGGATTTACCGGTGACGTGTTTTCTCTGTGTGCGCCAGGTGTACCAGTGGAAGCTCCTGCACCACGTCTTTAAGGACCACCTTGTGATGCTGAACCCGGTGCACCTTTCCCTACAAGTGCACCGTCTGTACGGCCACATTCGCATATGTATACAAACAGTTCGAGAATGACGTCTACAGCCCTCACTCTGTCGTCGCCAAGAAGATTATGGAGTCGTTTGGCCGTAGGAAGGCAGCTGCGGCGGCGGCCGCCACCGGACAGCCCATCAAAATCAACAACGAGATCACAATTCACAATCATCCCTCACACGGGCTCGGGCGGTGCGGCAAAGGGCTCGTCTCAGGCCAGCTCGACGCCGGTGAAGCGGCGGCGACCGGAGTCGGCGCCGGCTCCCGTGGAGCGTGAGTGCGAGCTGTGCGAGCATCGCGCGCTGCCGTGGTGCAGCCGCGGCCGCTGACGGAGCCTGCACCAGGGCCGGCCAGAGCTCGAGTTCACGCCGCTGATGCGCGACCCCAAGTGCGCCACCTTCGTCACAGAGGAGATCTGCGAGCAGCTGCGCCGGCGCGCCGCCGCCGAGGACTCCGACAGTGGGGTCGAGGTGGAGGTGAGCGACGCGAAGGACGGCGCGGCCGGCGGCGCCCCGTCCGCCTCCGGTGGCAGCGCGCTCAGCAAGCTCAACGAGGAGACTCACGCCTATTGCCGCGGCGCGGCCCCGCCGGCTGGTGACCGTCCGGAAACCCAAGCCGTTCATGGGTGACTGAGTGAAACGAATGGACGTGCATGTGCGTTTTTGTTCTGTGTATGCGTGCGTTTGGAAATGGCGTCTCTATGTGCGTGCTTGTTTTGTAGAAGCGCTAGCGGTGCCGACGGACCCAGCGATGGCGCGGAGGGCTTTGATGTACCGTGTGTCTTTGATGTTGATGCATTCTCGTGTTTTGTTGGTCGCGCGCCCAGCAGCACCGTGTACATAGCCGGGGGCGTTCCTGCTCGACGCCACGTTCTGTTCGTTGTATCTCAATGCCAGCTTTTTGCTCCAAGTCCCGCTCGTGGAACACGCGACTCGCTCGATTCAAATAATAAATATACACTTTATTTCTCTGACAACCTGATGTCCTCTCTCTCCTCTCTCCTCTCTCCATATAAAAAAATACGGCCACGGTGAGTAGGTGCCGGCCGGCGTTAACTGCCTCCGGCCGGACGGTTCTCAGTTGATATGTGACAACAGTTAGGAATGTAACACCGCCATAGTACCCTCCATCACTGCCGGGCGCGGCGGTCCCCGCACACAGGACCGGCGGGGGGGGGGGGGGTAGCGACCGCCGCCAGCTGCTGGCCGCCCATCAGCTGCAACACCAGCTGCTGCAGATGGACAAGCTGCTGGCGGTCCTCGTTTAGCGCGATCAGCTCCTGTTCGCGCGCCGCCGACACAGCGTTCACAGCGCCGCCGCCGATGAATTGCTGCAGCCGCGCGCGCAGCTCCTTTCGCTCTCTGATGAGACTGAGACTGAGCCAGCCAGAGCCAGAGTCGAGACTGAGCCAGCTGAGTCTTGACAGACCGGACAACACACAAGGCGCCAAAAACGAAGCAACATGATTGGTCGACAAATCGAACCGTCTGTCACAGCGACTGTGCTTGGACCACGGCCATCCCGCAATAGTGACAAGACAAGGCATTATCCTGAACACGCGCAGAATCACGCCCAAAGTCAATCGACACACCAAGAAACGTAAAAACATGCAACGGAACGAGAACTCATTTATTGAAATTAATACACAACCCAACACTAGTCAGAAACGCAGCGATACCATTCAGCGTCCTTGGACATGAAAAGAAAATCATCTAAATACGCCAAACACCTGACGTTAAATCTCGACTCTACAAGTTCACTGAAAGCATCTGTTAGGTACTGCATCTGCAGTACCTAACTGCATCTCCTTCAGTACCTAATAATGCAGTACCTAATAATGGTACTGCATCTCTACCTAATAATGCAGGAGATGCAGTACCTAATAGGGCCCATTGGTAACAGAGAAAAGGTATAAGCACGTTTTACCATCATACAAAACACCAAAAGGACGTGTGGAACGTGCGCGAGAAATGTGATGAAATCCATCTTTTAAATCAATCTTGATACCGGTATAAACCCCAAAACGATAACTCTAACGCATCCCCAATAGACGGCAAAGAGCACGGCCGGCACGGCAAGAGGGGCGTAAGCACTGACAAATCGTATACCAGTCTGGCCACAGTCGCACTTTTTGGCACAGTAGCAGGCCAACTAAACAGCGACTCGCTCGCGACCGGTGCCGACGGCGATGAAGATTCGTCGTCACCAGCGTCCTCCCCAGGCGCGCTGCCGACGGGGCACGCCGCCACCGGCCCGCCAGCATCACCGTCGACCGATGATGTCTTCAAAGAAGAGCCGTTCCCCTCAGTGGCGGCAGCAGAAGAGACCGCAGGCGGCGGGGACCCGGAGCAGGGCACAGAGACGTTGCCCCCCGCCGCGCCTCAAACGCCGACCTAAGCCGGACGTCTCGGCGAGCCGGGCCCGCGGCGCGCGGCGGAGCGCGCAGGCTGGACGGCCAGGCGGGGCGCGGGCGTCGCCAGCTCCGCCGTCGGGTGAGCTCCGGAAATGATGATGGAGAATGATGGAAGGATGATGTCATGGAGCCGCGGATGCTGCTCCATGGCAGAAATCACCTCTGCAGCTGCGCCGTGCGGATGTTGGTGGCGAACGCCCCCTGGGCTCTGAGTCAGCTGGCTGGTGGCTTGCGCGCTCTGTGGGAGAGCAGGACAAGGTGTAAAATGCTGCTACGGGACACGTAAGCAGATGTAATACCTCTGCTCGAGCTACCACATGCAGATAAGACTAAAGTCTGTTCCATTTCAAGCCTGCAGCCGAAGTACCATGCTGTAAACAACACATGCTTTATGTGTGCATAGCTCCTACATTAACCCTCGCCCTGGCAGGACATTTTTCATAACACGGCCTGGCAGGGGGGGGGGGGTGATGCGACCCCCCTCGCGATTGGCTCCTATGGCACCTAGAAACACCAAATTTGGTAGGTAGGTGGGCCCCCTGGAGTTCTCGCCCCTGCGCAAATTTGGTTGCTCTAGGTCAATATTTAGGGGGGTTTTGGGGGGAATAAATGTAAAAATTTTGCTGCAGTATGCTTGAGGCACGTCCATGGTCAAAATAATAGATAAAGCCCAATTTGAATAATTCTAGCAGAAAGACACCAGAATCACCCCTCAAGCAAAAAAGAAAAGTTTGTCATAAACAGGTTGCCAGTTCTCACCTGCTTCCACTCCACCGCCGTTTACCAGCTCGCAGCTGATGTCCATGCGGTGTTGACACCAGCGGCGCAGGTGACGTCGCCGACCTCTCCGGCACTGGCAGAGTCGACGCCACGGCCGTCGCTGGATGGTCCAGTGCCGCGAATGGTCCAGCTGGTGACGGCGTCACGGCCGTCGCTGGATGGTCCAGGGCCGCGGATGGTCCAGCTGGTGACGGCGTCAGGGGTTCCGCGGAACTCGCAGGTGACGTCGCCGTCGTCTCCGGCACTGGCAGAGTCGACGCCACGGCCGTCGCTGGATGGTCCAGTGCCGCGAATGGTCCAGCTGGTGACGGCGTCACGGCCGTCGCTGGATGGTCCAGGGCCGCGGATGGTCCAGCTGGTGACGGCGTCACGGCCGTCGCTGGATGGTCCAGTGCCGCGGATGGTCCAGCTGGTGACGGCGTCACGGCCGTCGCTGGATGGTCCAGTGCCGCGGATGGTCCAGCTGGTGACGGCGTCACGGCCGTCGCTGGATGGTCCAGGGCCGCGGATGGTCCAGCTGGTGACGGCGTCACGGCCGTCGCTGGATGGTCCAGGGCCGCGGATGGTCCAGCTGGTGACAGCGTCACGGCCGTCGCTGGATGGTCCAGTGCCGCGGATGGTCCAGCTGGTGACGGCGTCACGGCCTTCGCTGGATGGTCCAGTGCCACGGATGGTCCAGCTGGTGACGGCGTCACGGCCGTCGCTGGATGGTCCAGTGCCGCGGATGGTCCAGCTGGTGACGGCGTCAGGGGTTCCGCGGAACTCGCAGGTGACGTCGCCGTCGCAGGTGACGTACCAAGGTTCTGAAATCACAGTGCAGAGAGAGGTTGGTGAACTACCAGAGTGTTTACCCGTGCCCTGCTGGGGGGGGGGGGGGGGGCGTGCCAATAATGTCTTTTTGTTCCAATGGGGCGGATTTGCAAGCCTTCGCCCCATCAAAAGACGGCACAATTACAAAACAACGCACAACGTCATAACGTCACAGCCCACAGGCACTCATCTCCATACTATTGACTGACGCACCACCCCAAGGTCACATGCACTTGGCCCATGCCGAAAAAAGATATTATAACATTAGAACACATTGTGTCACATTATAAGCGTCCTTCTCTTTGTCAGTGGCGCCCAGCTCTGCACCATATACCGCCCCATGGGTAAGCCGCCTCTCACTCAGACAAATAATAGAACCACCCCACCGGCACGCGATTACGCGTTCGAGCAAAATATGGCCGTCCGCACCAGCTGCTTTCGCGTCTAACACTACCGCTGGAATTCTCTCGGCCACGGAGCGCGCTTACCTTCGAGGGTACAGCCTCCGGCTGGAGGAAGCGATTTGGGGTGTAATCGCTTGATTTCTCAAATTCTTGGTAATAAAGCAGGTGGTTTCTCTGTGCATTTACATTTGTGCCACAATAAATGGCAACAGCCTACATAGGTTGTTACGAGCAAGCAAGCGAAGCGAAGTCTTTTCAATACTAGATGCAGGCAGCGCTCGTGCGTTGCCTTGGGCCAGAATTGGAGGGATGGTGCCGAGAGCATGCCGGGCCAGGGAAAAAACAATAAGTTAGGTCTTGGGGGTAGACTGAAAGATAACCGAGACCTTTTGAGACTGTAACGAACTGAAACGTCTAAAGAATTATTGAAAGCACGTGAAATTGATATGGAAATCTACCTACAGTATAGGATATGAATTCATTGCACGTGCAAAGTGAATGTCCCAAGCACCCCGGTTCATTCATTTTCATAACATACTGTAGAGTGTGTCTAGTTCTAGCAGTGTGCCAATTTTGTGTCGATAGCTGAAAAATTCCCGAAGTCAGAGGACCCCTTGTCAAGAAAAGCTACAGTTCTCTCGCTCGTTCGGTCTTCGCCCAAAAGGCGTTTATCTGGTAAAATATAACCCTCATGATACTGCATTTCAAATACTGCAATGACGGTGGCGAGATCACATACCTGTGTAGTTTCCATTTTGCACCCTGCTTATGTTGGGGCTTGTAATCAAAGTGTTGCTTGCATGTCTTGACACAACAACGGTTTACCATGTTGCTGCTGTAAAAGAAAAGCTGTATTTGTCATTTAAAGTTGTTATACAATTAATATTAAGAGGTGCAGCATGACAGCTTTCAGCATGTCTGAAAAACGTGGCTGCCACGTTTTTCAGACTGAGTCAGGTCAACGGTCGCTGAATGGTGATTGACAAATACTAATTTCTTTATAACTATTTATAATTATAAGCATTCATATTTAAATTATTTATTCCTAGTTTGGTCATAGCCCTGCTCACTTCAACTGTTTATTGGTCGATCAATATTTGGATTTGCGCCTAGTAGTTTCCCAGTCTGCAAAGCATTGCAATTTTGACAAAAGCTTGTCGGTGCAGGCTTGTTCAGCTGGTGCTGATCTGATGCGGCGTGGTGCGGATTTGGCTGGTAGGGTGCAGATCTAGTGTAGCCCAGTGTCCCAAGATTTGGGTGGAAAGTGAAATCCTTGTGAAATTGAATAGTCCACTTGGTCCACTCTCACCTTTAATTTTCCAGGACAAGTTGCCCTCCCAACTTTAACAACTAAGATCATCCGCATGTACATTTGCTGGCTGGCTTGTACCTACATTCAAATTCCATTAAATCATCGCAGCTCCCACATCCTGTAACATTCACATAGAAAATGGTGATCATGTTTTCATTCTTCTTTGTATCTTTCTGACTAGCAATTTTCCACTTTCAGTCCTCTTTGTAGTGAGGAATTTTACCCTCGAACACCCAAGCCAAAATATCCCTAATTTT